TCATAACCCCTATAATATTCCCCTATACAGTCCCCTATATGATACCCCTTTAAGGAGTTTAAACCCTAAATCCTATACAACTGCCCTTTAAGTAGTTTAGACTTTAGCTCACATCACTATCATGAGCTGATTGTTACGCTCCCCTGGGAGGATCAGAGATGCAAGTCAGAAACAGGGCGACTCCAGTATAGACCCCAAAACAATTATTTTACGGACCCTTCCCTTAAGTTTGGGAAACCTTCAGGGGCTGCTTCTGTAGCACAACCTTCTCTACTTGACGGAGGGCCGTGCTGCTTGCTACACCTAGCAGCGTTGGCCCATGCGAAACCGACTCTACTCCCTCTAACCCTAAACCCTGAACCGTATAGGAACTTCGTACGTCATGGGCGGAGGGTCATCCTCCAAGACCCTCTCCTACTTGACCACGATCTCCCTGCAACCACGCGTCGGCCGCCATCCGCGCTGCGCATCACCGGGGAGACGACCCCAGACGTGCCTTCTACGCTTTCTTGGGACAAGCTGAATTTTGTTGACCCTTTTCTAGGATGAGCTCTCAGACGTAAAGCTCCTACTGAAGCTGGCTTTGTACAAATCCTTCGAGGATCCTACCATTGGGAAGTCATTCCTTGTGTGCTGATTCCTATACTTCCACGAAAACCCAGTAGTAATTGCTACACTCGGATTCACCAATACGTAAGCGATGTTCGAACCGAATCTAGGTTGAGATTCTTGTTTTGACTTCGACCAGATCTTTTCACTCATTTGCCCCACAGCTTCGTGGCATGCTACAAGACCCTTTTACAGGGTTGCAAGGCATTGGCGACTAGCAAAATGCCATTAAAGCGCCGATGAACACACGCTGCTAGAACAGCCTATACGAAGCGTTATCTGGTAAGAGAAGCTACTGGCGACCTGAACCAAGGTTCTACCAGCGGCAGGATTGCTACTCCGGTAAACTAAACTGTTAAACTGTGGGTTTGTACCGTCTGAATGGAAGCTTTGACATGTTTCTGTTTGGGCTTTCAGGTCCACTGGTTCAAGGTTGGGGCCATGATAAGGACTGCAATTTGGTCTTTCACACGGGAATTCAGACTTCGGAGGTCCATTCCGAAGCAAGAATACACGATGAGAAACGTTGCCCAACACAGAACCAGATGAGGGGAGCATCCCTAAGCTTCTAAGCAATAATAGTACTGCCATCAAGAATGCTAGCACTACTAATAGTCATATTAAGAAAAATGATGCGAATGACCTTTTATAATCCTCTAGGAGATTGACTAAAGTTTTTTATAACTGCTCCTCTCCTCTGGTTGCGAGGAAAGAGGCTGGTCTTATCGGGCATGCAGCGATCTGTCAAACCTCTGCTAAACAATGGTGCCACGGGGTCTCCAGCCCTATTTCCACCTTCAACTTGGGACATACAGTCGGGCTGCTGCATTTCAATACCCCAAACGCAATACCTAGTAGACACTCCTCATACTCCCCTTTTTTACGTGACCCACTTTAAAATCCGAACTTGCGTCTCACTTGCAATGCTGAAGCAGAAGGGCGGCGGAATGTAAGCTAACTGGTGTCGCAAAAATCATACAGACCGATCAAGCTCTTCCAAAATTATCTGGAACTCCAGGAATCCTAGTATAGCCGCGTTCCCTTCTAACGGACACTAACGTTTGTGGGGTGCCTCTCGGCGGTCCAGATTAGCTACAGTCTAAACTCCTAGTATCCCCCTCAATAACCCCTATCATACTCCCCTCCATACTCCCCTATATAACCCCTTTAAGGAGTTTAGACTATAGCTCATGTGACCGTGTGGGGGGGTGTCTCAGGTAATCTGGAAGAACAAAGCAGTCACTGGGGGATGGCCCTGCCATGGGTTTGAGGTTTAGGTTTTAGGGTTCAGGTGTCTGACTTATACGTGCGGCTAAACTACACGGTTGAAGGTTTAGGGTTGAGGGCTACGTGGTCCACAGCCTTCCAAACGGTGATTACGGCTAGATCACTGTAAGGACCCAAAGGGGCATCAATCCATAATGTTGATTCCGCACAATCCCAATCAGACCAAATCCACTCCAAGCCTGTAACCAACACTTGACATCCGCTCCGCGCATATTGGACTCACCTATGACCCTGTTCGGCGCGCCTTCACCGATGGCATCTCCCAAAGGTAGCTCCAGCTTCAGTGTCTCCGGCATGGCACGTGCAGCTGATTGCGCAAAACCACTCAGAAGCTTTGGCTATGGGCTGACAATCTTGGATCTAGGTGGGCTTGGGGTTCAGAGTTCGCGTTCTTGCGCAAGGGATCAGCATGACTTGAGTTCATCATGTCAATCGCGGGGCTGTCCGGTCTACGGCATCGTGTTGAGGTTTTAGGGCTTAGGATTTTGGATGGTTGGTTTGTGGTATACTTTCTGACCTGCAGAGCCCCTCATTTTCGTTCCAAGCACAGAGCTACATGCCAAAAGTCCCCCAAGCCTCATTCCGGCGCATGGAAGCCGAAGATACACTACTTGGAACGCCAAAGTAGGTAAAATACCGGGCTACACCCCTTCAAATGATCAAACGGTGATCTTGATTCTTCCCCCTACCCTCCTAAGAATGAGTATGCTCCGAAAAAATGTGATGGCACCAGGGGAGGGTACTATATACTTTGGGGATCCACGTAGTTGCTGTAAAGGCCGCCCTTGCAGGGAATTTTGCTTTCTCCTTGGAACGAGATGATGAAACACTAGACATGGTCTAGGGTGTACGCTTTAGGGTGAAAACAAGAAACACGCAGTGGCCATGTCCACCTGCCTATATGCAGTGCTTCCGAAAGCCAGTGTTTAATTGCAGAATGTTTAAGGGTACAATAGACTAAGCCTGTTTAAAATCCAAAGAAGATTGTCGATGCATGCCCCAATGCGCAAGGATCGCCCTAGCTGTTCTATCATGAATGATGCCGTATCAACATCATTCCAGGGGGCCTTACTGTAAGCACCGCAGCCTTCTTTTCCGTACAAGCCGTCAGCTCCTCTGCATGATGCCCCGCTTGAGCATCCGCAGGTGACAAGAAGGTTGACAGCAGCCAAATCTGCTTTGCACAGTTGCCGAGACCTCCTCCCCTGAAAGCCCCTGTGCAATACTAGCAGTGCTAACATCATAGACCCTATCAAGTTCTCCAGGCCCTCACCGAAAGCCCTACACCTGCAATGTACAACCACAGCGCCCTGCAAAAATGATGTAGACGGCTTGTCTGATGAGGGCATGTTAACTAGATGCAACTAGACTATACGACTTCGGAATTGGGCGTGCAGGGCGAAAGGGATTTCAGAAGCCTAGCATCTTCAACGCGGAACCAGTACGGATACAAAATACTGCTTTCATAACAAGACTTCATGCGGCGAGCTGTGGGTCGAATGTACCAAATTTAGATGAACACTCACACTCCTTAACCCTGCACCCCAGACCGTACATCCCTGCTGCAACCATAGCATGACAACTGCACTCCCTAACTACGCTCTGGACACCGACTTGGCTGCTTAAAGGGTGATACTTTGCACATCTGCACGGGCTTGCCTCACACGAATAGAATCTGCTTTGAGGTATGAAGCTTGGGGGTTTAGGGGTTCAGCAGGTTTGGAAGGTTTGGGGCTGGATTTGGAGTTCAGTGGGTTGGAGGATTTGAAGCCGGGCTGAAGGGCGATTGAAACTTTCTGCGCCAGGGCTTGGGACGTATTCGATGAGTCGGCGGCGAGGGGAATTCAAGTTTTGGTGAAGTCGCGGCCTGAATAATCGGGGATCTTTGCCTGCCTTATAATTAACGGCATGACATACCCTAAGCCCTATGCGGAGTCGGCGCTATTCCCATTAGTCAGGCCCTACATGAATAAAATTTGGAGCGGGGTGTGAAAGAAGCGATTGTTCCCAAAACCTACACTCTCAAGCTGGCAGGTAAGCACAGGTAGCCCATTTTAGCGGAGAATGCCATCACTGTCGTTTGGGGGCTTCTGTGTTAGTTTGGGGGATGGGTCAGGTTGTAGAATCTGTCATTGCAAAATTAGCATATGAAAAGCCTAAAGGCCAACATGAAGGCGGTGCCAAAACCTCTGGAAATAGCCTGAAGTGGAAGCCTCACCCTTACTGCCTACCCAACTCTGTCAACCATACTCTCTCACAACAATGTCTACAGTGCCTCCAAATGCTGAAAGCCCATGTCTTATGGGAGCTGACCATCCCAAACTCCAGGGAACCTGGAGGCCCAAAGCCACCAATCCCCAACTACATGAACAGTTTAGGGTTTAGGGTTTAGAGTTTAGGGTTTAGGGTTTAGAGTTTAGAGTTTAGGGTTTAGGGTTTAGAGTTGAGGGTTTAGGGTTTATCAAAACAACCTGAAGCCATGCAACCCCATGCACACTGGAAGCCTCAAATCTTGTTTGAACTCCAAGACCGTCCTGGCCCTAATCCCCTCCCCCTGATATTAAATCTCCCGTTGAATACTCCCCATCGTTTTATATTATAATATATTGGGAGCATTTCATCTTAGGGGTGGTGGAGGGTGGGTTCATATGAGGGGGAGGGGATTAATCACAAGCGCAACAGCAAAGAGCCGCTTATTACGTCAAAAGGCAGAGCTGTGCGGTAAGACTTAGGAGTTAGAAGCCTCTTATCCCAACATATGGGGGGTTATGTAAGGGTTGTATGGGGCTATATAGGGGGAATAGTGGAAAAGAAAATGGAAGCTACTATTTAGGGTTTATGGTTTACTGCTCAAATGCCGCAAATCTTGTGAGCCATGGAGGGTTCAGGTCCGGGTAGGGCCCACTGCTCAAACCAATGAACCCCAGCGTCAAGGGCCTAGCCCCGACACCAACGGCCTTGGCCCTATCTTGATTCTATATGGGACCTGTATGCCATGGACACAAACTCCCGAAAACCCTAGACCCTCAACCCCAACACACACACGCCCTTGAACCGCTAAACCCTCACCTGTAAACGCCCCAGCCTAGGCGAAGCTGCTGGGCTCAGTCGGAAGAAGAAGCTGCCCTCAAAGTGCATCATGGGTCAAGGGTTTTGGGTTGAGGATTTGGGGTTTGGCGGCTTAGGGTTTGGACTTATTGTTTTGAGGGCTTATGGTTTTGAGCTGAGGTTTGGGGCTTAGGCTTGGGGATTTAGCGGTTATTGTAGCTCAACCATTTGGCGCTGCTGTCATAGCATTGTGGCAACGAACACCACTGAAATGGGGTGTTGCCCGTCAGGGAACTCTAACAGGAGAGAGCATGATTCTGCACACAATTTGGAAGTACGTAAGAGTTGTCACACGGTCAAATCCTGCGAGTTATGACTGTACTTTCAGTCGATTATAACACTCTTGCATATGAGTTCTAACCTGTCTAACCAGGGGGCACCACCTTCTACCAGACATGATTGGGATCTGCAAAAATGCGGCCCTCTTGAGCGCAAGCTGTCTGAAGGTGCCAAGGATTGAATGATGTGGGTGAGGGTTGGGGCATAGGGTTTGGGGTCCCGTGCTAAGGACCAGCGTGTCTCGGGTTTGGGACTTATGAAAGTTTACGAGGGCGCAACAGTGGTGGCTCATGTCCCCGTCAAGAAGTAAAGGGTCCGGGTGTACACTACTTCGGAAAAAAGTCGTGGGCAGGCACCGCTAAGAAGGGATGCGGCCTCTAATAAAAGTACTAGGCCAGGCCAACTACTCAACCCGACCCATGTCGGATAATTTGTCAGAATCGAGGTTGGCCCGTGCACTTCCTCGTCTCTGTTACAGGAACTCCCAGAAAGTGGTTCAACTGAATAGAACTGGTCTAACTGCAGTCTGCGCAGAAACTCCAACCAACGGTCCCTTTGAAACCAGAACCCAACAAGTCTAAAAGCATCTGGTTGGCTCACATTTACTGAAGCTCATGGTACGGTTGATGAAGAAAGATTCCTCATGACCCTTGGTATCATATGCCTCGGAAATTTTGGGAGTTTAGTATACCAAGGCTACTAAGGTTATGCAGGACTTTTTAAATAGTATCCACTGCAGCCCCCCCCGGCCTGAGGCTGAACCGAAGGAGTGAGCCAGTATCTTAAGAAAGCTCGCAACGTGTTGATACTAACAAAATCTGCATGACCTTAGTATACTCAAGTACATAATTCCCAAGGTTTGAGGTACCTAGGGTCATGCAGGAATTTTGAGTATCCACTGTAAGTACAGGGCGGGTCATGGGCAGGTTGTCCAAATGGCACCATCATCCGGAAGTCGTCGATACCGATCCTGACAAAAGGGCTTCCTGATCTTGTTAGGTTCTGACTATGGGCCCCTACTTCGTGCTGGGTCCTAAGTATGGGCCCTTCACTGAGGCTGCAGAATTTCTAGCGTTCGGCCTAACTATATACCAAATAGTGCAATAACAGATTTAAGGCCCATGAATGCAACCGTTTCAAAGCTTCGGAAGCTCAAGCCGTAAAGTAAGAGATGGGGGTTTTAGAGTTTAGTATTTGTAGGGACGGCATCGGGAAATGATGAAGACTAAAAGAGGGATGACTAAGAACGATGTAGGGTTAAGATTTTCTACCGGGGTAGAGGACTCAACACTCAGGAATGCGAAGATGAGCTTGCGACGCAGGCTCACGCAACAGCTTTCAGCTCACAGAGGGTAAAGTGGGTTAAGGAACTTCAGCCAAGTTACCACCCAGTAGCAGTTGGACAATATTTAAAATATAGTTATATGTAGCCCTTAACAGGACCCCTAGTATAGACTGTTACTGGGTGGGGGCAGTACGCAATCTAGACGTATTACCTACATTGGGTCCCGACGTCTATATATGTTCCCTACCTTGGGCTCTTTGGAAACCAACTTACGGGGGATTCTACAAATCCTGCATGATCTTAAGTACCTCATACTATGCCTTGGGACTGTGGCATACTACTAAAAGTCATGCAGGACTTCTTTAAACCCTGAACATAAAGCCCAATCCCTAAACTCTGAACCCCCAACCCTAACCCTAAACCCTAAACCGGCCCCAAACCCTAAACCCCAAACCCTAAGCCCAAACCACTAACCCTAAGAGATTCTGATTCTCAACCTTAGGCTACTCCGCGGGGCCTCTTATCCTTATAGTAGTCCCTGTATAACCCATTATCGTAGTACCCATCTTCTTTTCCATTCCCAGCTAACCAAAGGCTACTTCAGGGGGCCTGAAAAATATTGTAGCTTCCATTTTCTTTTCCATTATCCCTATACAACCCCTATAAAACCCCTCTATAACCCTTGTATATCCCCTATATAACCCTTATATAAGCCCCTATATAACCCCTATATAAACACCTATGTAACCCTTATACAGCCCATATATATATATATACATATGTATCTTTAAATTGCTCACGGGGCCTCTGATCTTTGTCTGCATCTGCGGTCTCGAGGATGATTTTGGCATCCTAAAGCTCTTTTCATGGTTTGGGTTTTAGGGCTGAATAGGGCTTCGCACGGCTTAAAGAGGGTTTAATAGGGTTTACTAGAGTTTACTGGGGCTTAGGATTTTGTAGGGTTTGCGTTTTTCAGGCTTGAGGGTTTTAGGTCTGGCAGGCGATTACAAGGGTCGGACTTGGTAGGGACCCTAAACTGTAAACCCTCTATAGCCCCCCTTAAGTAGATCGAATATGGGGTATGTTGGGATCTTATTAAAATATACGCAAAACCATATTCTATCTACTTAAGCGGGACTGTATCTAGAACTGCCATGAACAGACATCGCGGGGTGTGCATGCTCATTCCCAGATGGCATCTTGGGGTGGATCCCGATAAATGTCCCGATGCAATCCCCGTATATGGGTTGTTCTCAAAATCATGGGCCCCTTGTAGGTATAGCCTATATTCCCGCACCTAATATTTAGGGATACCAAAAAGGAAACCTAATTTTGGGAACTACCCATGTAGGCCACTCCAAGACTAGCCCTTAAGCACTAGTAGTAAGGTTCAGGCCCAACCAGGCTTCGACACCAAAGAACAGTTGATACCGTTGATACCGAAAAACCTGCATCACCCTAAGTACCTTACCCTAAACCCTAAACCCTAGACCCTAAACCCTAGACCCTAAACCCTAAACCCTAAGCCCTAAGCCCTAAGCCCTAAGCCCTAAACCCTACAGCCCTAAACCCTATACCCTGGTGTCATGGTATCATAGCCTACTAAAGGCCATGCAGGATCCTAGGCAGCAACCATCTCAAGCTTGGCCCCTTCCCCAGGACTTGATATCCCCTTCGACAGAAATGGGCTTCTATCCAGTTCATTAGAGCTATAGTCTAAACTCCTAGCACCCCCCTTAGTAACTCCTATAATACTCCCCTATATATACGTTATACAACCCCCTTTAAGGAATTTAGACTGCAGTTCATCTGGTAAGGGTGGGTAGAGGTGTTCAACATTGGGCCGCGCTGACTACATAAGCCCAGTTGGGAAAGTAGGGGGGCTGGGTCCGAAATTGAAAAACTGAAGATTTAGCGATTAGGTGTTTAGGGTTGAGGGTTAGGGTTTCGGGATTTAAGGTTTAGGGTTTTGAGGGTACAGAGATTTTAAGGTTTAGAGGAACAACAACGAAGTGTCGCTTGAGGGCTTTCTTATCAGCCAAGTAAGACCATACTCTTCTTGCAGAGTAAAACTTCGGTTAGTCAAAGGATTGGTTCATTGGGTGTTGAACAGAAGAGCTTCAAGACAGTCAGTGGCCAACTACTCCAGGCCATATCCGTGCTTCTGTGTATATGACTTAACGTGAACCCTGCATGGCCTCAGTATAAAAAATACAACCGTTATTCTTCCCAAAGTAGAAGGTTCCTGGGGTCATGCATGATTCTTAGTATCCACCCTATTGAAACCCTGCCTTAGGACTTGGGTAAGGCCCATCCCCTTCCTGCAACCCCATGACATGTTGGGGGGCTATGTTCCCATCGACTCCTCATCTGAGATCTCGCCATATCCGAGCTCCTGAAAAAGGAGTGTCCGCATATAGAGTTGAGGACCGAGTAGGGTCTGGGACATGGGCTTCAGCTTGAAACCTGAAACCTTCCCTTATTCCCATCAGTATTTTAATGGGGGGATCGGATTAGTAAAGGTGGTCCAACTAGAGCGAATTTAAGCCTCAACGGAATAATAACCATGGGTACGGATTAGAGCGAAATTTGGCTTGAATGAAGTATTAACAACACCAGAACGGAATAATTCCATGCTCAGTTCTGGAAAACCCAAAGAGAGAAAAAAAGAAACAGAGAAAAGAGAAGCAAGAGAAGCCAGCGAATAAAAGCAAAAGAACCCCTAGGGTTTAAAGTTCAGGGTTTAGGGCTGGGACCCCCCAAACAAGAGAAAAATGATGGGGTGACCCCTGAATATTTAGAATCGTTACTTGTTAGGGGATGGGGAGTAATGATATGGTAGTTTCCCGAAAAAAGGGGACCCCCAAATATATATATATATATAGATCCCAAAATACTACGCTCCTTCTTATGGGGACCTCTAAAACGGTACCACTAATTTTGGGACACCCCCATATGTACCCCCCATCAGGGCCTCTACGGTCCCCACAGCCCCAACCCCCAACCCTCGATCGCCCTCCACACTTGCATTGCTCCTTAAAGAAGCCCTTGACGATGTCCATGTCCACAAAGTTGGAGTTGGCCGGATCAGCGTAGACCTGCTTCAAGATGTCTCAAAATTTGTGTACCATATGAGCCCATAAACCCTACACCGTCAACCTTCGGGTCAAATTTGTCGAAGCTATTGGGCTGAAAGTTGGCTTTCTTGGTTTTCTCGTACAGGGTTTGAATTTGTTAAAGAAATTTCCATTTTCTTTTGCCATTATCCCAATAGTACCCCAATATTATCTCAATGCTACCCCCATATTATCCCAACATTTATGGAGTTTCCAGTTGAAGGTCTCGGGGTGAGGGTTTAAAACTGGGGGGTTAGGGCTTGCGAAAGTTTCGGAGCTGGGCATAGGTACTACAAGGGCCGAAATAATTACCAATACTATTTTCAGGGCCATTTGAGGTACCATATACGACTATAATTATACAAGGAATATGAAACTATTATATTGGTAACTGTTTAGGCCCCTATAGTAAATGCTTTGATGAGGGCTTTGGAGAGCTGATCTGTTCAACGCCGAAAAATCGTAAGCAGAGGTTTGTATAACTCCAACCCCCCAGATTAGGACCCGCTTATAATCATATGATAGCTCTGCATCTAGAATCTTGGGGGTTGGGCTTGCCAAAATGTCCTTATTAGTCGTTTAAGGTTTAGGGTTTAGGGCTTAGCCGTGACAACTGAACTTCATGGCTGTGCCGCGCCGCTATGCGTCCCGCAGCCGGTATCGCAAGCTATGCCGGTTCATCAGAAGCCGGGTTCAGGTGCGGCCGCATGCGAGGTCGTGGCAAATCCTGAACCTGAAACCGTTCTTTGTGAGATTGCTGATCTAGTTCCTCAACCTTGCTCGGACTTGCAGAACGGTCCATTCACTGTTTTCTGCACCCCTAACTTACTGGTCGTTAGTAGGGAATGATGGAACATGTTATTCCGGGCTTATATGGTGACTATTTTCACTTACCCCCTACGGCACTAACCAACAGTAAGCTAAACGACATGCAAGTATCGTCTTGCAGGCAAGAAGTAGCTGTGATCAAAGGGGGCCTTAACAACTGGGTTGCTGTCAAGGACTTTAAGCTAGGTTACCATCTACACCCAAAACCCTACACCCATATTTTGCGGTCAATATGAGGACATGCTGGTCCTTGAACTCACAGATATTCTTGCGGCTGCTTGTATTTACTCCGTCTTAGCTTTCTCAGCGTATAGATAGGATGGCCGGCATGTCCACGAAGTTAGCATATCTGGCTGTTTCTAGAAAGTGCTGGCCCGAAATAAACCCTGGTATGCAACAGTCCTTATTCTAGGAATCGTCAAAACTGGCCTCAGCTGTTGCTCAAACCCCCTCTGCAGTATCATTCACAGATCTGAAGGAAGTCGCCTTCTGCCTCAAAAGTCGCACAGTTTTTCGCCTTTTGGAATCCTTACTGGGTTGCTGTTCAGGAACTCTAGCTAAGTTCCCATAATATGGGTATATGGTGAATGATAGGGTTTCGGTGAATGGTAACTGACTTCAAGTTCGTGAACAGCAACCCAGCTCAGGGAGCTTTGGTCAGGATGTCGCCCGGCTCTCAGGCGGACATGCTCGATGGACCCGGGTGCACACGAAACACAGAAAACCGTGTACGTTGTGTCACCTCTATGTGGTATGGCCTCACTCATCCTCCCACTCCACACGACCCACCCCGAAAAAAAGTCTGCGCAGCGATTCACGTTCCTTCAGTTTGCTGTCATGCTAACAACACATAAAACCTAGTAACAGGGCCAGTGCATTGGCGCTACATGCAGGCCTTTCTCTAAAATGACATCCCCTGATACTTTGATACCTCGAGATTACCTACGTATGTGTGGGAACCTTTTCAAACAGCACATCGGTTCGAAGTTAGATACGTAAAGCGTGTAGGAACGTGCCTGCAACTTCTTTTTGAACATATGCTCCTCCTACCGGTTGCCCATCCAGACAGACGGGTGTCTGGAGCCCTCCAGGCATCCCTCTTAATCAGAGAAAAACTCAAGCGTTGGCGGCCGAAGTAGACCCTAAACCCTAAGTCTGAAAACCTAAGCCATGTGTCATGCAAGTCGTAGACCTCAAGTCCCTCACCCTCTGTTTTTGGGTGATTCTGGGAGTCTGAATCGCTGAAGGACTAGGAGAAGCTGTTTCCCCAGCAAGTCTCTGATGCTCTACACCCAGCAGTAACTTTCTTCAGTTTGAAAGGAATGGACCCCTCCGGAACACTGCAATTATATGAAGGTTGTTCATAATAACACTGGCAGTCCATCAAGCTTCAACACTAAACTCTTGAGGACAACGCGTCCCCCCAGGTCCACCACAGACAGGACATGCTTGGGTAGCTGGTAGAAACTGACAAATACGGTGGATACCAAAAAATCCAGCACGACCCTAAGGACCTTATACCTGAGGAATAATAGTACTACAGTATACTAGGGCAATGCAGGATTTTTAGAATCAACAGTAACAAACCCTAAACCCTAACCTAAAATCAACAGTAGCACAACAATCAGCTTCAAAGATTCAAGGTGCCACCTATTTGGCCGGGTTAAGGTTTAGGGTTTACGTAGGGTTTTAGGGTTTGGGGTTTTAGGGTTTTAGGGTTTAGGATTTTAGGGTTTTAGAGTTTTAGGGTTTTAGGGTTTGGGGTTTTAGGGTTTAGGGCTTAGGATTTAGGGTTTAGGGGGGTCCACTGCATGGCCTCCGCCCCCAATGTGCAATGGGAGAGGACCGCCAATTATCCTTAACTCACTGGTGTTTAGCCTAGAATGGGGGAGCGGATCCCTATAAGAATCCCAAAAGAAACCCCATATATGCCCCTAAACCCTAAACCCTAAACCATATATGCCCCTATAATAATAATAATAATAATATTCACTCCCCCTTTCCTCTTGAGGAGCAATAGGTCAAAGGAATATCCATGTCACTCCACAAGCCCAGTATATGAGCTATAGCCTAACCCCTTGTATCCCTTCTAATAGCCGCTATAATATAAGGTTTAGGGTTTAGGGCTATAGTCTAAACTCCTTGCTTCCCCCTTAGTAACTCCTAGAGTACTCGCCTGTACAACCCCGCTGAAGGATTTTAGACTATAGGTCACATCCCCAACTTCCTTGCGCGAGTCCACCACATGCTCTGTCTGCTATTATGTCTGAAACAGCCACTTTTATGGCATCCATAACTTCAGCACATTACATGTGATGTCTCACGGATAAGTGCCCAGGGGGAATCGTCTTAGGGATTTCGGGGGGGGGAGACCACAAACTGATTTCTGACAGCTGCCCAGCGTGGCATCGCGGAATTCATCCGCTGACAAAACTTGGTAAGCAAAAGACAGGTTAAGAAGATCCTGCCTACTCAAGGGTCTTGCAGAGTAGAGTCCCCGCCTACCCTAAACCCCAAACCCTAAACCCCGATTGAAGCTTACAGCCTAGGAATCCCGGCTCATTTGGGCTTATAACGAGCTTTTGAAGGTCCAAGCTAATGTTCATATTGAAGGTTTTTTCGGAAACTACACTGAAAAGCGGAAGAGAACCAAGCCCAAGCATTGAAGAAGCCCAGCAAGAATGCTGTCTAGTTGAACCCTCCAACGTAGTGGTTTAGGGTTTAGGGTTTCGGGTGGGGTTTGTTGGCTCGTTGCTGAGGAGCTATATTGAGGCCCCAAAGCTACTTCAGGGAGCCCAAAGCCTCTTATATTGGGGTCACATGAGGTTATATAGGGATGATGGAAAAGAAAATAGAAACTACTGTAGTATAATAGGGTACATATTGGGGTTATATGAGGTTATATAGATTTCAGAAATCTGAATAGAGATTTCAGAAATATGAATATAGATTTCAGAAACATGACCTGGTTAGGCTTGCGGGTGGCAGGCTATTGACAATCTCCCTATCTCGGGCAGCCGGCCCTCTTACTCCGGGGTCTAAGTAAACGCAACAGGCTCTTGTGTACAACCCTACAATGTAGTAACTTTTTGGTAACCCTAATAAGAATCCTAACCAAAAAACCATACCTAACCCAAAAAGGAACTACATTTGGGGGTCTAGGTAAACCCTAATCGTGCGGGGGAATTGTGAGGTCTGCTCTGGCAGGCAGTCCTTGGAGTACACGAGAAATGTTCTTACCCTTGGTTGGCCAGGAATGAAGGAATGGATCCTTATAGTGGTCCCTATATAACCTATTTTAGTAGTTTCCATTTTTGTCCATTCCTTCATTGTCAGCTACCCAAAAGTAAGTAGGGGTTGGTGAACGTCTGTGGGTGTCCTTCTGGCGGGACCATAAAGGGATACTTACATGCATTATTCTCGACCCGAAAGCAGGCATCATCAACATAAAGCACGCCACGGGTTTCACGTGACCTGTGTGAGACTATGAATGGGTCTGGAAAACATATAGCCCTCCTGTCAGCTAAGGCAAGGAGCACGAGCCGTAAGCTTGTCTTAGCAAGGAATTTGGGCACAGACCTCTATCATTTGGGGTCCTACATTCCCCTATATAGTCCCCGTAGAACCCTATGTATTCCTATATATCCCAGTATAACCTATCTGAAGGGATCCTATTATTTGGGTCCTTGGACCCTCCCGCAGCGAATCTGACAGTCTGTGGCCTCATTGGAATCCACGAAGCATGCGAATCCCGTTGAACTCTTCACAACACACCTTTCCTGCCGAACTGTGCTGGAGACGTGCCCTGGCGTGTGCAATAATATACTATAGTATATTGAAAAATGTTATAATGTACTATAGCATACTGTAATCTAATATATTGAGTATATACCATGATATGCTGTAGTAGACCCAATAATCCACATTGGACCCTTCCAAGCCCAGTTGACGAGGAGGGCTACTGGCGTCTGACTTGACAATACTGCTCCAAAGAGGTCCGAGGTCCTCGCTTGCCCAAGATGGACAGCAACAAGCTGAATAGCCACAGAAGCAAATAGTCAGTACAAGCTCAAGTAAAGCCCTGGAATAGGAGCTCACCGCCATGGATTGTACGGCTGGCACTCTGAGCTGCGCGAGGACTAGAGTTTAAATTT